AGTGAGTATTATATTCGGAAAATATATATCTGGTCTTTTAAGTGTAAACTCAACTGTTTGCTGCTCGGAAACTTCATTCGGGGTTGTGGTAGCAGCATCGTGCGCAGTGTGTCGATGGAGGCTCCATTTTCGTTGAACTTGGAAAAATACAATGCAATTTCACCAGTGATATGGAAAACACTAGTGATATATATACTCAGCCGTTTTTCAACGAGTATTATGTCACTCCACGTAAAACGGGTGAAACTCCATTGTGTGATATAGTGTCATCATTCAGGGGTATGTATGATTTTCTCTGTTTTTTGAGCGGTCATTTAGTAAATCACAAGAGTGGGCTCAGTCTTGTGCACTTTCGAGACTTTCGCGTACTATCAGGTTTCTTGCCTTCCAGAAACCTATAATGTTTTCGGGGGGAAAGTTGTTTTTAATTTTTGTAGGAACGCATTCTTCCATGTATACGTCATCACATTAGGAAGGTTTTCCCAGTGATTTCAAACCCTGTGGATACCTGCTCAGATACCATCAACGCTGACTCGTATTGGTATTATCCGAGATGCATCATCAGCATTAGAGTTTATGCATAGTGAAGGCTACGTACATAGGGATGTTAAACCTGCTAATGTAATGCTAGTGGTCGTAAGTTGTGTGAAGTGCTTCGACAACATATGTTCATTGGAGTTTCACAGGCGGCCGTGATATGAGAAACACTGGAGTATCACAACCCGTTTTACGTGAACTGGCGTAAAACTCCGTGAAAAACGCGATATTCACACTACGCAGTAGTCGTGAAATATGTTTTTCACTGGCGTTTTTCATATCACTAGGGTGGAACTCCACTACACCTTTTCAATGTCAAACTCAGCAACTGGAAAGACAAATTTGAGGAGAGAAGTTTGATTTTTGACGAGTGACGACGAAGACTTTTTCACGAAATGAAACTTGCGTTTCCGAATTCATAAATTTCATTTACGAATTTGAGCTTTCACTTTCGACTGGTCTACGAAAATCGAATTTTCATTTCGAATTTGAACTTTCATTTCGTGAACTTTGTAATTTGTCCTTTCACTTGTTGATCTTGAGATTGGAAATGTGTAGTGAAGAACATATTTCACGACTACTGCATAGTGCGCATATCGCGTTTTTCACCGAGTTTTACTCTACTTCGCGTAAAACGGGTGGTGAAACTCCGTTGTTGTTGCCTATGTCGCTGAGATGGAATAGCATTTTCTATATATGGATTTATATTCAGCGCGAATTTATGTGTTTTATGAATAACTCAGCTCGTGGTTGAGAAGAGATATTTTTTTACATTGTTTCGAGTCGTCGTTGTGCGAGACGGTTCATGTATGTGGTTTATAGAGTGAGATTCACATTGTTGATATTGAAGGCTTGTATCTCTTATGAAGAGGCTGCGCCTCGGGATGCAGTAGTTGGTGTCGGGCAGTGTTGGAGGAATATATGTTCGTTTTTCCGTTATAGGAGTTTACGTAAGAATTCGGGTAGAAGTGTACAGAAATCAAGGAGAAATTCGTGCAGGATTTTCATATTGTCATCAACACATGTAGTTAATCATGTGTGTATTTTCGCGTATTCGTTTGGGGGAATATATGCTCGCTTTCCTCAGCTGAGCTCAGGAGTTTCCTATGTTTTCCTACGAAACCAATAAGGACTTGCCCGAAAATTTCTCTTTTATAATTTTCATATTGTCATCAACACATGTAGTTGACCATGTGTGTATTCCCCCCACACACGGGTCATATCAGGTTCTTCTATCACATTCTTACATTGCTAAACTGTGCGACTTTGGCGGTTGCTTTACCGTTGAAGAACTGCAAAGTGGAAGTGCCACTGCTGCTTGTGCTACTGCTGAGTAAGGGGAACTGCCGGGGTCTTGCTGTTAATAATATCGTTTTATATATGTTTGCATGATAGTAGGAATAGATATATTGGAGTTTCATCACCCTAGTGATATGAAGAACACTAGTGAAGAAATATTGCACGACTACTGCAATGCAGTTTTTTTCACTGAGTTTCACGCCACTTCACGTAAAACGGGTGAAACTCCATTATTAGTATGAAACAGATTAATAGGGGAATTATGATGGAGTTTCACCCTAGTGATATGAAAAACATTACTGAAAAGTATATTTCACGACTACTGCATAGCGCGAATATCGCGTTTTTCACCGAGTTTTACGCCACGTAAAACGGGCTGTTGTGAAACTCCTATATAACTAATATTATCTTTCTATCAATAAACACGTATTGTAAAACGTGTATGGTGTACAATAATAGTTATAATATCTAGTCATTAACCTCGAGAGTTATTATTTAGTTTATAACAGTAACAGTATATAACATCGAATTCTCTGCCGTGTAACACACTATCTACCGATTCATACTGCGGGCTCAGACAGCAGTGACTGAGCCCACAGCTATACCTCTATACTGGCTATTACTCGCCTTGTCGTAGGGGTGATGGGCAAAAAGAAGTATATAACAGTACTTCTATAATATACACTTTTATGAAACACATGAAGTGTAAAGTGGTGATGTTGACCTCAGATACGCATGCCCAACGCATCCATCATGTCTGCAGTGTAGCTGTGATATATTCTCATTGGGGTTGGTGATAGTACAAGTTGTTCATCTCATTGATATCTATACGGCGACTTCGAGGCGTGGTTTGGCGTTGCCGTCGAATATTCATCTGGAGGATATGATCAAGATTGCAGATCTTTGTGTAGGTCTGGCTAGTTATGTGAAAAAAAGCAGTGTTGCAGTATGAATATATGTTCGCTTTCCTCAGCAGCTGAGCTCACGAGTTCCTATACAGTGTTGGAGTATGAATATATGTTCGCTTTCCTCAGCTGC